ACTTCCAGAATCTTCAGCAGATTTGTGGATTCAGTGCACAAAATCTCTCTCTCTCTCTCTCTCTCTCTCTCTCTCTCTTTCTCGCGCTCTTTCGCTCTCGCTCTCGCTCTCTCTCTATATATACATACATATGCACATATATGACACTGAAGATCTATGATAGTCAATTAAAAACAACAACAACAACATGTGGATGCTATTATATCCCCAGACTCAGTTAAATGACCCATGTTTAAGGCATTTTGCCACAGAACTGTCCTCCAAAAGAAAAACAATAAGATGAGCCTTGAGATGTGTGTGAATAAGTGGAGGGTGAGGGGATCTCAAATTAAATCTTGAATAACACATGGATCTCTGGCAGGCTTGAATCCACTGGTTAGTCTGTGGATATAACATTAACTTTGGCACACAGATATAAAAGAGTGGTCAGCAGATGAGAGATACTTACAACTTCCTAATCAGAACAGGAAGATTTTACTGGTTCAATCTCCAACTAGGGCCAAATGGAAAGTTGGCATGGAAAGGCTTTTATGACACCAAGTTTTTATGCAGATACTGGGCAACCGCTGGAAATCCATCACTGTAGCCAACAGTGAAATCCTGGAGCCACATTATGAAGGCTGTTTTGTTCTCAGCCACCTCTGTGATAATGAGATCTGGTGACTAAAAATGAAGCCGATGCTTACTGGACTTAAGCCCAAATGCAAGATGAGTCTCATAACACTCATCTTAAAAGTAGTGTTCGTAGAGTTATATTCTTCTCCAGCTTGTATGAAATCTGCACTGGAGAAGAATTCGCAGTTTACCCATGGAGTTCATGAACTTTTCTTCCCCAGTCTCCCAGCTGCAACCCCTTTTCCAGTACTTGGCTCAAATAATGGTTCCCTAACCACAGGAAGAAGGAAGATCTGATCTTTTAAGCCTTTATCCAGTGAACAGGCAGCATGGCAGAAAAGAAACATTGGCTCATACAGGGAAATGTCTTTTTCAAGGGAAAGAAAAATCTTGGGCATCTGTGTATTTGGAGAGGAAGCTTCGCCTCCCCATTTGCCTATCTCAGCTGTGCTTCTATACTAACCATGGTCTTCTCTGCAGCAATGTCTCAGGCTCCCTTCCTTTCTTGACATAAGTAGCAGAAGCAGACATTGTTCAAAAAGATGCTTACAGGCCCTGGCTCCTTTCTCTCTCCTCTGCAATCTGCCAGGCAAACTTCAAGAATAAGGTAGATGGTAAATTAAAATAGCAGTGTACAGTAAACAGACAAACAAACATCCATAAAGAAGCCACTGAAAAAATCTTGTTGCAGACAACAACAGACTTCTAATTACCAGAAACTGAGACCTATCTTACCATGCTCCACTGCTCTATGCTATTTTTAACCTTTTCCGTGCTCTTCTAGCAAGAAAAAAGATGGATAGGGAGGCCTTTAATGGTAGATTCAGCTATTTTTTTCCAGTGACTTGGAAAATGTCAGGAATTCTTGAAGAGAAATTCATCTACCACTTTGATTTACTTGTGTAATTGGTATTTCAAGGCAAGAGAGACACATAGTAAGTACGTAAGCAGTGTCCCATTAATGGACAACAATGGAGAAGGAATTGGAGAAAAAAGAAAACACTGTGTTTCATGTATAGATATAATAAAACAATATTCATTTTTGTGAAAAAAAATTTCACTGTTATTATTGATCAACTTTATATGGTAATCTTTCACACAAAAAGACTGCTAAAGAAGGAGGGAATGAACTTTTTAAAAAATTAATTGGGGTCCTATCAAAAGAATAGGTAAAAGAATACATAAAATACTTTAAGCCCATTACTAAACACCATTAAATAAGATTTCAGCACAACATTTGGAGCAGAAGGAGTAACTTTTCTGCCCTGCATATTGGTACAATTTAGGCAGACACTCTTTAAAAACGATGAATCAAATTAAATCTTCCAACATTCTATGTCATAAAGAGAGAAGGCAAAAGGATAAAATAAAATAAAATGTAAAATAGAATTATATGAAGAACTACTTTTAATTTTATTTTTACAGGAAGTTTCTCTTTTGAAAATACATAAACTAGCTTCATGGAAAGAATGCTGTCCGGGTGAAATATGATGTTGGTGTCACTTCTGATTTTCTCTTTGGAAGACTCTTTGTATACTTTACTTTGATTACCTCTTTCAAATCATTTTTCACTTCCATAGTCTCTAAAGACATTATGTACCTCACATAACCTTGCAGTTGGAGAGCATTTAGGATGCTATCATTCTTCTGACATTATACAGAGAAACTAAATCGTTTTAGTGAAATCAGTATTTCTTCAGTTAAAATACCTTCAACCCCTAATACATATGTGTGTGTAGATAAAGGAAAATATTCCCCAAAGGACTTGGCTATAGTTCTGTTATATAAAGAGAGATGAAATCTCATATCATATGACCATATTTTCCATATATTCCACTTTGCGGTTTCATTTTTAAATTGTCATCTTAATAAAATGGGTGCAGAGGTTGTGTTTTGTTTTGCTTTTAATTTTCCATGTGGCTATTGCCATTCTAGTCATCTTTATTCTTTGGCTGGATATTAGTTTTCAAATGGGAAGCCGTCCACATTACCCTGCTAAGAGTCAGGTTATGGCCAAAACAGCAGAATGGAGCAGACAGTGGATAATATCCAGAAATAGGTCTGGACTGTGTTGTTCCTGAGTCAGGACCTGTGAGCAGCTCATTGGGGTTTTGGATGTTAGGGGCATCAGTGGAGAGGAGGGGGTGAGAGGGGGGTTTAAAAAGTCAAGATGGTAGCCACAACTTCACATCTAGCCCCTGTCCCTTTTATGTGTGATGTCTTGATGTTTTATGAGCCCCCTTCCCCTGCAGACACTCCAGTTTCAAATCTTTTTCACTTGCAATTCCCTTCATTTTTTCATGGGACTCCTACAAAAGTCTAGAAAATTTGTGTCTGGGACCCTTTAGCTTTAAAAAAATTGACTAACCGGGGAAATTGTCAAATGGAATAAAATCATGAATGGGCCAAAAAAAGTATACAGGGAATTTCTTTTTTCCCCCTCTCTCAAAACATCATGGTCAAGGACCATCCAGTGAAGATAGGATGGAAAGTTAGAACCAAACAAAGAAAGCAAGAAGGGACAAGACTTCTGGATAAAAACAAGTAGAGACCTGTGCTGCCGTATTTGGAAATCTTTGGGGCTGCAGTGTCCTGGACTTACAACTGCTAATACAACTCTAGTAGCAGCACTGGTACTTGCCAATGCTATATTTTCTGAAGTACCAGGGGAAAACTTTTTAAAAAAAAATTGCCCAGGCATTTTCATATGTGAACAGCTTAAAGTTGTTTGCCTGCTGGTTGCTGAGTTTTAATTATGATTATTTAAATTTATATGCCAGTGACTCAGTGGGAGCTTTATCCCTTTTAGTTTTATAGCATACTGTTGTTAGGTTTTATATTGTTGATGTTTGTTTTATCATTGAACTGTCTTGGAAACAATTTTTGTGGGTGAATCATGGTTTATATTCACATACTTAAATAATCTTCAGCAGTGTGTTTCCTTCTCTCTCTGTGTGTGCATGTGTGTGTACATGTGTGTTTGTAGGACTAGGAAGGGTCACTTTGCAAAGACAGATTTCTGAAGACAGATGATAGGTCAGAATCAGCTGTATTTAAGCAGCCTCCTAGGATGGGAAGTGGTCCAATACATCTGAGGGGCATAAGGTTCAGGAAACCAGTTAGACACAAAGACATCTTGATCCATTCCACAAATATAATCTGTGCTTTTCTCCAACCTCTGCTAGCTATTCATATGTGCTACAACAAAGATATGACACTGATGTGTTTATTTCCCCAGTCTATTGGAACACAAGATCCTTGAAATGGAAGAAAGGCATAAAGAGGAACTAGATACGTTAAAAGAGGAAAAAGAGACCTTGCAAGTTTTGGTGTCTCGTCAAAGCTACATTATCCAAGAACTAGAGAAGCAGCTAAGTAAAGCAACAACCAATAACAGCATTATGCAGAAACAACAACTTGAACTCATGGACACTGTCCATAGCCTGGTCAGCATTTGCTCTAAAGATGGAGGTAAGATGGTATCAGTTTGAAAAATAAACGTGGATAAATTTATCTGATGTCTTTAGTGTAATGAGCATGACTTCATTCAAATTATGCAATTCCCCAGTGTAAAAAGAAGGGGCAGGAAAGATGTGTCCTTCTCAGTACTTCTATGACTGATAGCCATGGGTGTGATGATTGATATTGATGATTGTAGACCAGCAACACTGGGGTTGGGGGCATAAGTTCCCCATCCAGTCTAAGGGCTAAAACATTTTATTTGCATTTCCTTATAAGTATAAATTCCTGTGATTTGACTACTTTAAAATGGTGCATTTTGAGATTGAAGGAGAATAAACCATTGATAATGTGTTAATCACCAACTTCTCTAGCAGTGTGAAATGAGAATACCTCGTTGGGTGAGGCTTGCTGGTTCTTGAGAAATTATCTGTGAATCCTGATAATTTTCAGAGGATTTTTATTTGCCAGACTTGGGTTGAACATTGAGGTTTAGGTCTTGTCATATTGCAGATGATACAGGTAACCTGGCCTGGCCAGTTTCTTTTGCTCATCTGTATTTTTATTCTGGGAGTCATTTGATAAATTGAACCTGACTACTCAGGCCAGGGGTGGGCAGTCAGTGGAAGTCCTGATGTTGTTGAAGGACAAATGACAGTAGCCTGGCCAATACTGAAAGATGCTGAGAGCAAGTCAAGGGCCTCAGTTCCGTAGCCTGATAAAAATGCAGATCTCCTTTGTTAAAGTGCTGCCCCCTTTATGAGCCGGTTGTGTTTTCTGGGAATCTGTTGGCATCCCCCAGACCTAACTTCCACTTTTATTTTATTTTGTGTTTTTAAACTATGGTTGAGTAAGTGGAATACAAAAATGTTCTGCTATAAATTTCCTTCCCAAAATATTTGAAATAAGCGATCAGTTGTCTTATTTTTCCACATCATGTCACAAATGTATTTGATCAATGATCAGAACAATAAAAGAGTTGGACGGCAAAATTGCATTGCAATAATATAGCATAATCAAATTTTAAAACTGGGTGTAAAATTCTAATAACATAATATAAAACATAACTCACCATGGGCATACTATTTATTCTTTGTTACAGCAAATCTAATCCTGTAGTACTTTGTGTGATTTAATAGCTGTGACACAAAATTTAGCTACATTAAATGTGATGCTGGGCTTATGGTCTAATAAGAGAAAAACAAGATAAAACTTATCTGATTGTCCTGGTGTATATTACAACAAGGGAGAGTTGAGAGATTGATGGCTACCTTGATAATATGAGCAGTGCAACAAAACATGGGTGGTTTCTATCAAATTTGAATTGCAGTGATAGGTTCTTCTGGAAAAAGGAATTTTGGCTAATCTACTACTGAGAACTGCTGTAGGTAAAACATCATGTCTGGCTCTAAGAAAAGATTGCTGCTGAGCAGGAAATATAAGTGTGATTAAATATCTACATGGTTTCCATCTAGGGTATTTTAAATGTTCCTTGATATGATTTAAACTAAGTTCATTCTATTGTTCAGTATCAAGTAATCTGGTTTTGATCGTTTGACAGGCTATTTTGTATTCTAAAGACGATAGCTGGTTAAGAGGGAAGCATAGAGGGGCACATTTTTTGAGTACTAGTAGATACCAAGAGCATAGAAACTGATCTGTCAAAATTAGAAGGATCAATCCTGTTGGGGAAAAATGGCACTTGAACCAATTATTCAATATGAATAACCATGCCTTTGCCTCTACTTTCAGTGATCTTTCCTATTTTAGTGATGCATTTGGTACACATTTTGGTACATGGAAAATTAATCATAGGAACCTGATTTGGACTGTTTCTAGGGATTTATAATCAGGGAATGGGCCTAACTGTCTTCCATAAAAGATCTGAATCATAACCTTTGCCTCCAATAACTGAAATGCTGCAGGAATGCATTCCTTACCTTGGGCATGAAAGAAACTCAATATTGCTGCTGAGCTCTTCTGTGCTAATTGTTTCATGTAATCTATGTGAGTTTTCCAAAAGCCAGTAGCATGCGGGACCATCCCTAGATATCTGCAACTCTTAACCTGTTCAGTTTCATTCTCTGAAATGGTCTGCTTATGGTTTTTAGGCTTTTTAGCAAAAACCACTAGTTTAGTTTTCCTCTGATTAATTGTCAACTGTTGTTCTTTGTTCTTTTTTCCTTTTTTTATATGTACTTCTTTTTTGTAAGTGTTGGCGTTGCTCCAAGTCACCTGATACCTCCTTTTGGTGTGCATATGATGCTATGTAAGAAATGTGATCCAACTCTGAAGTCTACAAATGAAGACACAGAATCTAGGTTTCCAAGAGCCATTGTTAATCTGGTCCGCATCTGAGTTGTGTTCATTAGCTTCCACTGATGGATGACAGGTTTTGAAATATTATTGAGAATAGATATCATATGACTAGAACTATATCCCTTATTTCTTTGCAGACTTAAAATGTTCCTTCTACACCATTACTCAGCTTTTTTTGTTGACTTTGATTTTGGGTCTCAGACAATTTGGAATCACATGTCAGTCAAGGATCTTGTAATAAACATGACAGCATCAGGTAGTCAACAGGATTTAGCAACATGACAATATGAATTGAAACCCTCATGTTATAATTTTGAACAAGGATGCTCCCATTGGCCATACTTAGCCAACGCACAGTAGGATGTTAGCTGTTATCCAACTTTTTAGCAAGGGAAGGGTTGCACAATTGAATGAACAAATGAATAATGTTTGGTTTATACTAGCACCTGCTCAGAGATTTAACAATAACAATATTATCTATGACTGAGTAATAGGTTCTATCTACAGCATACTTTTTCTTTAAAGATAGTTATGCCAATGTAAAATAGTTATAACACAAATATAATTTTTATAACATCAATATAGTTCAGTTCTTACTGCATAGCACTGAGAAAAGATCTTTATAAATAACTTCATTATTTAATGAATTTAGATTAACTAATTGACATTCAGTATGTATAAATGTGTGTGTGTGTGTTATAGAGTAACACCAGACAAGATATATATGTGGAATGTTTTACAGTGCAGAAAGGTTATCATACAGTATGTAGTAAGATCATATATTTTATTAACCTATCAAATATTTTTCAACCCATTCTTCTTATTTCAACTGAGTTCAGCTTACTCTTCTGTTATCTCTTCTTGAAAGAGTTGTATCAATTAATGTACAGATTTTCTCTAAGTTTCATAAATTTAATAAATGTTTTCAGTTGGATAAACATGACTAATTCTTTAACTTAATCTGCTCAGTAATTTTTGCAATATTCTATTGTGTTGACTGTTCATATAATGTTGATGTCTAGTCTTTTCAACTCAAATAGCTATCACAATTTTAGTGACACTTAAATAATTTATATGATATACTACACCACATCCCTATAAGCAGTTTAGACAACTTCATTCCAAGATGTTCCTTAGAACTTTAATTGATGAGGTGATTCTAAGAAATGATTAGAATTCCCTTGATCAGTTACATCACCAGACTATGTTCAGTGGAAAATGGGAACCATCTGCAAAGTAATCAGTAGTGTGGCTATTGAGATTGTTCAAACACACACCTGCACCAATTTATAAATAATTATTTAATTTCCAAATTGATCATCATCTTCAGATTAATTAATTCTTCAGTTCCATTCAGCATTTAATAATTTCTGCATGGTGGTCTTGTTCACTTGCTGGCTTTCAAAATATGCTTAGACTACAGCTTCCAGAATTACCAGCCAATCTTTCCAACTAAGAATTCTGGAGTTCTAGTCCAAATACATCAGACACCACACTGGAGAGAGCTGGTAAACTTATGCCACTCATTATAGCCCTTCTGATCACCTGCTTCAAACACCCCGAATGGCTATGAAATTAAATATTACTAAAACAATTCTGGGCAAAGCATTATGCTGCTTACTATATCACTTTGAATGTATAGTTAGAATTTTTCCTTTGACTATGGTCTAGGAAAATCAATGGGTCATAGGAATGCTTTTTCAACCAAAATAATCTGTAGTGGAAGGAACTGAAACAGTGAAATGTAGTTTTATGAAGACTTTATGTAGGTCTCCAATGAAAAGCCGAAAATTCAGAACTGTGTGAGAAGCTTTTTGTGAAAACAAACTCAAATCAAAATACAATTTTTGTCTACAATGGAGGCTAGGAAGTTGAATCTTTTGAGAAGATTTAAGTTAAAGAAGTCAATAAGAACTGTGTAGCCATTTCTTATGTACAGCCAGTAGTCCATCTAGCCCAGTAGATGCCTACTGGTTCTACGAGGAGGCATTTTCCAGGCTTCAGGAAGCCTTACCTAGAGATGCCTCGGATTGAACTTGGGACCATCTGATTACAAAGCATGTGCTTTCCCACTGAGCTATGTTTTTCCCTCAATGTAACTGAATGTCCAATTAATGAATACAGTATTTCTTTCCATGAAAGAGTATTCAGCATGGAGTCTAAGCTAAAGCTGCCTGTTGACTAGCAGACTTTTCCTTGGGAAATGCCTGCTGCTGGGTGGCTGGTCAGGGCACAGCTGTGGAGCATTTGGCAAGCTGCATTGTAGCTCGGTCCAGGTGCAGCAGGAGGAAAGAGACTCTTGGCATAGGAAGTCTTTTGACTTGGTTGAAAGAAAACATGGCTCCATCCTGGAGTAATTATGAGCTGGCATTTTGCCAGCAAAGCAAACATAATTCTTTGTTCACACACACATACACACAGAGCGTGGAGCAGAGAGAAAGAAAGTGCATCCGATTCCTTAAAGAACATCAATTGCTTGCAGCTCAGTTTCACACCAGGTTTTGGGGAGAAAAGGCACCTGTAAGAAAGCTTTTGTGCCACCACAAAAGAGAAACTCATTTGATATAAACACAAAAGGAACAGTGAGTCCCTAATCGAGCCTCCCCCATCCTCTGAATGTGGCCCTTCTTCACAAGGCTGCTATTTAACAATAACTTAAGCAGTAAGAATTCAGCAAGTGAAGACTTTTCCATCATAGAAAAATATTATCTGTAAAAAATGAAGTTGGGTTATTTTTGGTTGGTAAAGAAATTGTTCAAAAGTCATGCAAAACAAGGTAGTTATCTTAAGGATTGGCATCATTCTTCCCCAGGCTGCAGTCACATGTACACTGAGAGAATATAGAGATTACTGGCGATGGAGTTTAGCTGCTGGGAATGTATTAGACCTGTGTTGAAGGAATAGGAATGAACATCCTATTGACCTTAGGCAAACAGTATATTTAGGCATACAGGATTGGCTCACTACAGAAAAAAATCATATATAAATCTTCTTGTTCCATGAGATTAGTAGTAGGCAGCATCCTCTGTAAGAACATAAAGTAACTAACAGATTGATTGATTGATTGATTGATTATGTGCCATTAAGTCAGTGTTGGCTCTTAGCAACCACATAGATGGATTTTTTCCTTGTTTTTAGTCTTGTTTTATTAAAAAAACCTTTTTATTAAACAAACAATAATAAGATAACAAGGGTACAAGAAAAGTTACAAATACCACGTTGATTTTACATAAGTATTAACAATCTCTGTAATCTGAATTAACAATTAACAGTGTTAAGTACACATGTAACATCAAAATGATACTGAAAATGAATGAAAAGCCTAGAAATTTCCAAAATTTCTTTTGATATTGATCCTATATTGATACAGGATAAAAAGTAGGTTTCTATGCCCAAAACAATCTCCTCCAACAGGATATACTAGGGACTCAAAAAAAACTCGATGAAAAAGGCTGCCTTCTCAACATTTCCCATGATATAAAGATGAAAGAGTATCTGCTGAGCTGGCCATGTAATCATCATTTCTATGTGTAATTAATATATTTAGGTTTCTTGATCTACTTATGTAGTGCATTGCAAACACTGGGAATTTCATGAAGAATAAGAGATTAATTTAGATTTCTGTACATAAATTAAATTCTAGTTCTGCAAGTTCTGCAAGCTATTTCTCTCCTATTACTACTAGAGTTTGCACAGAATCTTTTCTTGACATACATAAGCTATAAAAAGCATTTCTGGTAGAAATTGCCTTTGATTGATAATCAGTTAGATGATGGATATAATTGAATAAATATGGAAGTTACGAACTTCATCAATTTTATTGCTAGTGCATATGTTTTCTTAGAAGTTCCACTGAATTCAGTGGGGTTAATTTTCAAGGTACAGCTTTCTTCCTATGTCCCCCATGTAATGACTAGGTCAGATATCTTCAGCCTGAGATTCTGGAGCCTACAGGTGACCTCCCCCAGGTTTGGAAGTGGCCCCAGGATTTCTCCAAAGGCTGACAACAACTTCTGCCACTGTAATTTGTAATTTAATCCAAGGTAGAAAATATTAAATACATGTTAAATCATCAGATTAATTGTGTTTAATATGCAGCTCATTAACTGTGAAGCATGGCCTCTAGTATATCACTTCAAGGCCCAAGACAATTCTCAGCTCAAAAAGTTTGCACACTCCTAGCCTAGCTTAGGTTTAACAATATCTTTAACTCAATTAACAGACAAGCCACATTTTTAAGCTGCTCCTGCTTCCATGCCTGTCATGTAGAAATGGGACAGAGAATCCATTCAGACTATGCTATTGATTTCTGCATCAAGTTTCTGTTAAATGCAGTATAGAAGATTGCCAGTAAAACTAAGCTGGCTAACTTTGTCGCTGGAACGAATGCCACTATTGGTTGAAGATTTGCTGTGGGTTATTACTGCAGATGTCAATATCATATTCATTTTCTGTTTTGCAGTTTTGCTAAAGAATACAAAAAGGGAAGAAGAGAAGCCATTCAGAGACTGCGCTGATGCATATCAAGCTGGTTTTAATAAAAGTGGCATCTACACGATTTATGTTACTAACATATCAGAACCTAAAAAGGTAAAGAAAAGTATGTGTTTCTTTTTAAATAATTCATTCAACTAGATGTTGTGCAAAGTTCAGGCAACTAGAATTGGCCTTTGGCAAATTCATGCTGTGCTTTTCATTTCTGCTGGTCCAGGAAATATGGCAGGTGTGACTTCCTCTGTACTTTTCCTGTCTAGAACTATCATCCTTTTTTTATCACTGTCTTAGGTGAGCTGGAAAAATGGCAGGAGAAGAACAGGTGGGAGGAACTGCATGGACCTTATCTCTTATAGGAACGGAGATGAAGATGATTCAGAAATCACATCTGATTACTGCAGTGTAGAAAAATGTAGGCTATCAGCATCCCTTTTGTGGCTTCCAAGGGTGAAAGGATGTTTTGGGGAGTTTAAGAGGCAAGAGTTAAGCTATTAAGTCCCAAAGATCCTTAAGGCCCCCCATTTTATCTCTTTAAACTCCTGAAATGCCATATGAGTTGCAGGATGTAGTCCCATGGATACAGAGAGGCTAGGGTTAGGAAATCTTAGATTTTCACTCTGTCTCATGTCTTTAGGGTGAATTTGGCTTTATGTTCCATCTATTCATCTTTTTGGTGGCAAAGAACTCTTAAATGTACTTAAGTCCTTGTTTACATTAATCAAATGCTGTATTTGAGAAAATCTCCATGTTCAGGGTTTGTCTTAGGTCTATGCACATTACGGTCCAGTTATGTGCTTTGTTTCCTATGCAGAACAGTTTTCTATGTCAGAAAAAGCAAACAAACCATAAAGTGGACTAAAAGAAAATCTCTGGAGACTAGGATAAAGAATGATTTCTTCCAGACTTACTACTCTTTACTGTTCCAGCAATACAACCAGTACTCATTGGAGCGGAGTCTTACCATGATATTAAGTGAAGCATGTATAGCAACCGCTCATATAAAAACACTAAAATGTTCAGTATAATTTGATCTTCAGTAACACAAGAAGTTCTTTCTTTTAAAGAACTAACACAAACTGCCCTATCAATTCAGGGAGTCACAGTATATCAGAACCCATTGGGTAATAATGGTTTAAACAGTACTCAGTAGGGCTGTCCATGTGTCGCAAATGAAATACTTCAGGTCTTGGGTGAGGATGAGCACTGCATCTCATTGCTATTCATTAAAACTGTCCCTTTTTTAGGCTTCTGGGTAAGATTTTTTTTTTTTTTGAAAAAGTGCATCTGTTTTGAAAGGCACCTCACAACTTCTTAAAGCAGCCACAACCTTTCCCGCCCCCCAAGTTGCCAGGGAAGCTTAAAAAAAAGAGGGGCTGCTTTAATGAAAAGGAGAGATGTGCTATGCAGCAGCATCTGGGGAATCAATAGCAGCCAGAGGGAACATGCAAGCCCTGCCTCTCTTGAACATGCATGCAGTTGTGATGCACATATGAAAGGAGCAAGAACTGCATTGCAACATTCCATCCACCAACATGCCAATTTTGATCCCACCCTACACATGTTCCTGGTCCTCTGACCTTCCTCACCCAAGGCCTGAAGCACTTCTTCCAAATCCTTTTATAAGCATGCACAGCTGAAATAGTCAACCCATTGTCAAAACAGATAGAAAAGTAGAACAATGTGAAATTCTGCCTGTTTCCTTGTGTGTCTCAATGTGGGCGTTCAGATTTCAACCACAAAACATGTTAAAAGGTGTTTAATGGCTGAATGCTTTGACCTTTTCTGGGACTTGAGCCAGTTAAGGACATTTGTTGGCTTGAATGATGGAAAGCTAATGTTTATAATCACCCTGCCACTCCTGTTACTGTGGCAGGTGTTGCTATCCAACCCATTGCTGTGGAGATGAGCAGACCACACAATGAATAATTTAGTGGTATAAATCACACTGTCGTTGTATATATATATTTTTCTCTTGCTTTCTTTTTTATACTCTCTGCATCACTCGAAATGGAAAACCTTTAGAACTTATTCAGGAAAGGATTTGTTAATTTTAGTTCAAGAAATTCTCTGCACACCTTCCATCCCACTCCCCTACCCCAGTCAATCGTAAAGAAGGATAAGTTCACAGAATACAATGCCTATCTCCTTTCTTGCATCATTGAAACATATACTTTATACATAGAATATAAAGATGTAATATTTGAAAAAAAATGTATAAAAGACTGGCCTTGTGTTTTGTTGAAGCTCGATGATGCACCCATTTCTTAAAAATGTCTGCTATAAATCCAAGACCAATGAAGCCCCAGGCAGGAGATAAAAGTTTGTACTCAAATGCTATTATGGAAGGAAGTCCTGAGCCAAATTGTTTTTCTTCTGTTGGGTTTTTGTCCTTTCTTTCTGAAATAAAGTTCACAGTTTTGGAGCACTGTACAATGCCTATCCTCTAATACAATCGGCAGTCTTTGGCTGTGCATGCAAGCATCAAAGATACACAATGGAGTCAAAGTCATGTAATGGAAACAGCCAAGCAACAGTGGTATGAACCATTCATCTTCAGATGAAAGGCATCAGATGGATTCAGCAAAAGATCCAATAACTTGTTTTGAAGAAAACCATTCAAAGGAATTGGATAATGGCAGCAATTATACTACCAGCAAGTGCCATAAATTTGGTTCCCTTTTATGATCCTGCATGAGAATAGATAATACTGACCTTTGATGAATGGACATGAGCTTTTACACCTGTTGTTAACACTGTTGCAAACTCCAGCAGAGCACGGCCTTTTCTTAAATGATCACAGTGAGAAAGCTTTGGTGCACCTTTAACTAGATTGTAAGCATCCAAATACAAAAAAAAAGAACATTTCAATTAAACTCAACCATTTATTTTGAAAATGCACAGCAGAAACTGAAGCTTCATGGAATAGTGGTGGTGGCCATGGTGGTGGCACTTAGAACATATTTTTATACATTAATCTATGTACATTTATGGATGCAACTTGGACAGTTTTCTTTTTGGAAGACTTATTGAATAGGAATCACCAAGAAGCAGACACTATTGCCAAAACTGGCATTTAATAATTTGGCTTACAAATAATTTGGAAACCAATGAAGTTTTTACAGAATGTAGAGCTGGGAGCAGTACTTTATTAAATGTACAGACATCCATGTTTGGGGGTAGTCGTACTTGCCAATCATTCTCCAAGGCAGTCTCACTTTGAATTTATTGTAATAATACAATGATGAAGGAAACAAAGTATGCATCACATAGGTAGGACCTTGTAATTAAGGAGGGGTCACAGCTGGAGCACCACCAAAATGGAAGAATTAAGCCACAAATGAAACATAGAAGGGACAGATCAAATCCAAGGGCTTTGAAACTTATATTTTAGAGAAAAACAAATCAGGTTACTGTACAAAACAAACCATATTTATCTTTTTTATTCCTATATGTGTTTTTGTGCAAACTATATTAGTTAAGTATTTTATGCTATTTTATTTATTTGCAGAATTTCAGTGAAACCACGGTTCGAAGACTTTAGATGGCGTATAAAAAATATAAAATCACAAACTATTATTAAAAGAATAAAAAGATAATGAGAATAAAAAATAATAATAAACCTAGCCAGTAACACATGGCAATAGCAACCTCCCCATGAATTATAATCCAAAAGACCAGCCAAAAGAATTGTTTTCAATTCCTGAATATTAACAGAGAAAGAGGGGAGGGGGATTACCTCAGGGCTCAAAGGAACAAGCTGGGGCAGTGACAGAGAAGGTAAATTTTCTGATCTCCCCCTTCCTTAACTTCCTGAGGAGCAAGGATACACAATGTGGCTTCATACCTTGAATACATAGGATGGGTAGATTATACTGGGAACAGGAAGTCTCAGAGGTAACCAGGATTCAAGCCATGAAAGACTTTATAGGTAATAACCGTCCCCTTGAAATGTATTCAGAAACATATGGATAATGAATGCAGAAATACAAGAAGAGATGTGACTCTGCTGAATTGGTTTTAACCTGTCGGCACATAGGCCATAGCATTCTGTATCAAATGAAGCTTCTGAATATTCAAATATTCAAACGCAGCCCCAAGTAGAGCACCTCCAGAAGTCCACTGTGAAGGCATTGAGAGACTATAACTAGAGCATCCAGCTGGTACATCTGTTAGAGCTGGTCAATATTCTCTGAGGTCCCTAGTACTGGGGGGGGGGGGTTACCTCAGGGCTCAACATGTTTCAACTACATGAGGCCACTGGGTGAGGCCATACATTAGTTTGGGGTCAGGTATCATCTATATGCAGATGATACCCAATTGTATGTCTTGAATCCAGACCAACGAGGCAATCCTACTTGAAGTTTTGTCCAAGTGTCTGGAGAGTATAGGGATCTGAATTGGGAGGAAGAAATTCAAGCTCAACCAAGTGGCTGTGGGACTTTGAACCCTTTCCCCAAGTACAGTGATTTTTTATTTTCAGTCCTGAATGAAGTTTCACTTCCCCCTTTGGAGCTGGTACACAATTTGGGGGTCTTCTTGGACTCCCAGCTCCTGCCCAAGAAGTAAGAGACAGCTATGGCTAAGAAGGTCTTGCAACAAATCCATTTTGTACAAAGGTCTTAGCCGTTACTTGGACCAGGGGACCCTTCAGATAATCACTCATTTAGTCACCTATAGTAGGGACTGTTGCAATTCACTACCCTTGAAAATCACTCAGAATGCAGTGGCTCAGATTTGCCAGTATAATTTGTAATAACCTTTCCTGCTGATGATGCTGAGAAAAGAATTTCAGTATCATCTGGAGGGGCACAAGTTCCCCTCCCCAGCTCCAAAACAAAACAAAACAAAACAAAATCCTGAAGTGTTGATTTTATGACTGCTAATGGAAATCTGAATTTAAAGCTACTTTGGTATTCATTAAACTTAGATGCAATAGATTTTAACATTTTAAATGGTTCACAGAATTAATCTATGAATTTCATTACTGCATAATGCTTGATGGGCTATAAAAACTGTAAAACTAAGTGCATTATTCTGTTTTATTGAAATATATAATCTTTATGTTCCTCTTCCTTTTTTTTTAGATTTGGGGATTGTGGGGACAGAAGTTACACATTAGCATCTTATTTACCTTACTAGTTACTCTCCCTGGGGAATGATGTTGGCTGTTATGGACAGTAGAAAAGTGAGCTGGGTGGATCAAAACAAGTCAGCATAGAGATGTTTATATATTTATGTTCTTATGCCTAGGTTTTTTGCAACATGGAGACTGCAGGAGGAGGCTGGACAGTAATACAACACCGAGAAGATGGGAGCCTAGATTTCCAAAAAAGTTGGAAAGAATACAAAATGGTAAGATGGGGACATTGTTTTATCATTATTCTTAATTTGAAGCAAAGCTGAACGCTGTGTCAATAGCTTGTGCTGGGAACATGGCCATTAAACAATAAACCAGAAGTAACCATGCGGTTCATGCTTATTATAGCCATCAAGACTCCTTTCTTGATTTGTTTTAATATGAATCATACTTCAGAAAGTTGCTTCATTTAGAAACTTTCTTCCATTCTTCCCCTGTGGATTTAGAGATGTATCTATTGCCTTTGTCCATGGTTTCCATTCCTCTTTTCCAGAGAATGTGTCACACTGAGTAATAATAACAAAAATGTTAACATTGGTTGAGATCCAAATTCCCCTGTGAGAAAGTAGAAAACCCTTCCACCCAGGAATTGCAGGCCTCTGTGCTTCACAGGAGGCCATCGACAGATCTCTTTGTCTCTGCGAGGAACTTTCAGAGGACATGGGGAAAGCCGATCATTTGCTTAAGACCTCTTATGAATAACTGAAATAAACTTCCATGTTATTTTGAATCCTGGTCATTTGTGAAGTGATAGCTGTATTTTATGCACTGCCCTAAAATCGAATAAGGTTAGGACTAAGTGGTAAATTAAATAAATTTATGTAAGATATGGAGAAACTGGAATCCTCTCAGGGATATATATTTATCCTAAAAGGCTTGTAAAAATTTGGGCTACTTTGCAGGATAGTTCAATCATGATGAGCCCAACCTTGAATCTGAAGAAGTTCAAAGCTAAAATGCAGTCAGGAAGAGCTGACATTTAAGTTCTGGAGATGCCATATGGGTGTCCCAGCCCATGTGGGTTTCTGAAGTTATTTAGGTTCAAGACAAGGTTTAGGTTCAAAGCAAGAAGAGTTGAGATTCAAACTAGCACCCTGGACAGTTCCAAATGGAGCTCAAGGTGGAGACTCACACTAGATCATAGTTGGTTTAGCTGCAAATTTAATAGAGTTTATTAGAGTTGATGTTTCATTGGGTCAACTATTCCACCATAGCTGGAAGTTAGAGGGGCCACTTCTATTTTAGCAACCAGTAGATCCAGCAACATTGGAGAAACTGTGTTTCTGCTGTCAATTCTAGACTGAAATTCTTTGACAGTCTGTGGCACCAAATCTTTATATAATCCTCTGGATCCCTCACTATATTTCTGCAGAACCCCTCCAGCAACATAAGAGAGAAATTATTAAACAGAGGTAATAAAAAATTAGCCTTGTTTCTGCCTTATTTATTGCTTTATCATAGTCCCAACTACTATTTGAAATCTGAATTCCAGCATAACATTCAAGAGCTATTTGCAATTGTTAGGCTTAAAAATAGTTGGATTCTGAAGATGGCAGTGCAAACTTCTCAGATTCAGGTGATGGTGGCCCAATAGGCTAATCATATGGTAGTTTTCTGGGGGATTGAGTGAGTCTGGGGTGGGTGCCTGGGGTAATTCCTTATCACATTTCATTATGTATTCTGAATCTATGGTCTCATCCATGAATATAGTGGATAATGTTACTTCTTTATGTAGTCTGAGGCAATCTTTCACCTCCTCTACTCTTAGGTTCCAATCAATATAATGCAAAAAATAGTAACCCTGAATTTTCCAGAGATGCTGTTTCAGCAAATGCAATAAAGAGGGTAAAGCATGAGAGCATCACCCTCATCATAATGTCCAAGCTAAAAAGTGCTGTGTAAAAGAGGAGAATGATATTTTTTCCTAAGATATGTGACAAGAAAATAACACATTGTTGTATCAACCCTTTGATATATTGTATATGAAATAAGGTGAAATGTAAGAAACAATGTGAAGCAAAAGAGAAATAATAATATATGAGAAATTCTAATATAAGGAGGCTCATTCCCTTCAGATATTTTAGACTACAACACCCATCAACCTAAGTGAAGAATGTCAAAGACAAGAGCTTGTGGAAATTAAAGACATCTAGAACAGCTGACACCAAATTACTTATTCAGTTAGTGAGAAATAATTCCTGATTAAATACTGTACTCTCATCTTTTTTGAAACAATATGCTCATTTTTTAAAAAAAAAAGCCTTCTACAAATGTTTTCAGAATTCTTCATGTGTAATATATGTGTCTATTACTCATTCTATTCTACTGTCATTATTAAGCCCTTAGTGGAAAACACTTTTACATGTAATTATTAATCAAACAGCACCCAGCTAATATTCTCTGAGCTCAAAAACAAAATAGGGTAGGATTGGGTCTGTTATCCCAGCACTATAAACTATACTAGGAACTCAGAATGATATCCTGCAAGAAGAGAATAGCAAGGAGACCTTGCTTTTATGGAACCAAATATATAGCTTGAGGGGTATTTTTGATTACAATAAATATTTCATTAATTAAACTACTCATGTTTTTAAAATTGCCTTTACTAGCTGAAAGCCATTTACTGTAGTTTATTTCATTCAAGTTAGCTGCAGTACATGGGGTGCATTTGTTTTCTTTTATGTTTTTGTTGCTCTTTATGCAAAAAATAAAAGGGGTGGGGGAGAGGAATAAATCCAGAAAAAAGGAGAAACAAACACTATATAGTACCTCTCACACTATAGAACCTCGTCTTATATATTCATGCGGTGTTGCACAAATGAACATTTATGTAAGTACCTTAACAGTTGGGAACACATGGGAAATAGCACGTATAAGCTGCAGTCTTGATATTTAAATATTCCCACTGAGCCTCCTGCCAGAAGAACTTAAATCTAGAAAGAGAGGAAGATTCTTCAGATCACTGTATATTTACAGAGAATGGGTGTTCTTCCAACCTTGTCTAAGGTAACAATAATAATAGCAATAGGACATTGGGGTAATAGCAAATAACTCCATAAACCTACT